TCTGGAATTAGAAAAAATTATAACGGTTATCGTGCAACGCACGATCTACACTAATTTTTATTAAAAAGGAAAAACAATTTGTCAAATCCTAGATTAGAATTAAAGTTTTAATGACTAAAATGAAATCTATCTTATATTAAAATGACTTGGTTATAATTTTTTGATTTTGAGGGTATTTTATGTAGTTTATGTTGGTTGAATTGTCAAAGGGTATTTTGGAAAGACTATTATTCAATTTGGGGTATTTTCAATAATTTCTCATCTCCATACGACTTCCTTCGTTTAGTAATTAATTGTTGGATTTTGTGATCCAAATTAGGTTGAAATTTTTGGAAATATATTTTTCCTTCTTTGCACATATTTGAAAAAATATTATTTTCTTTATTTCACGTGTTTTATTAGAAAAATATTGGGAAAATATCTTTTCCTTTATTTCACATGATTTGTTTTTATCTTATTTACATTTTGGGTTTGGACATCTTCCCTATAAATAGTAGACTCTTAATTCAGTTTTTGAGATCAGAAATAGTTAAAATTGTATTTTCTCTCAATTGACTGTTTAATAAAATATCGATTTTTCTGCCAATTTTTTTTCTTTACAAAAATCATGTTCTTATTTGGTGAGCGATCGATACTTCATATTGCTCCATTAATCTCTTCCGATTTTTCACAACACGTGGGTTCAAAGAGTCCCAACAGGTGGTATCAGAACAGGTTGTTGAATTTATTTGAAATTTCTAGTTTCGATGGCTGCCATGAAGTATGACTTTCCGTTTTTGGATCGCAATACAAGGTTTTCTTTGTGGCGAGTAAAGATGAAAGCAATTCTGGCGCAGATGGATTTGGATGATGCTCTGTTGGATTTTGATAAAATGCCAACAAATTGGACAATAGAGGAGAATCAACGGAAGGATCGGAAGGCGCTGTCTATGATTCATCTTCATATTTCTAACAACATTTTTCAGGACGTGGTTAAAGAGAAATTAACTGCTGCATTGTGGTTAAAACTGGAACAACGACGGGTGAGTTGCATCCGAAGCAGAGGTTTTATTCTCATCGCATGTCAGAAATGAGTTCTTTCGAGGACCACTTGGCCGTGTTCAAGGAAATTGTCGCTTATCTAGAAATGATAGAAGTCAAGTATGATGAAGAGGATCTGGCATTGATCCTGTTATGCTCACTGCCCGCTTCGTATTCGTCATTTAAGGATACGATTTTGTACAGTCGTGATACACTTATCATTGACGATGCTTAATTTCTGATAAACTTTATAAAACAAAAGTGGCGGGAACACGAAGTTTGACTATAATAATGAACAGTAATTCTAAATGCAAAATAACAATCAAGTTACGATTGAAAAATAATTTTAAGTTAGACGGAAGCAAACTTAAATTGTCTATTTCATTAAGGGGGCACTGAGTATCACATTTAACACTTCTTCCTTTTTGGAAAAAAAAAATTAATAAAAAATAATATAGACTCTTTATATTAATGGTTCGTTTTTGAATAACAAGTAGTCCTCATTCTTTAGTTATTGAATAATTATATCTAGTTTGGTGGAGTTAAACATTAGTTTATTTGACGATGAAGCCATTTTCACATTATGTTCAACTTTATTAATCAATGTAATTGTCATCCCACTACCACATAAACGTGTTTATCATCACTAGAACTATA